TTGGCATTTCAACTATTCTGGTAAGAAATGACAATAATGACCTAGCTGCTAAAGCTATTCAAACTAATAATATTCTTAAAAGCTATTGTAGTCGCAATAGAATCCCCTTTTTAAGTAATTCAAATATGAATGCAAGTCACTTAAATATGAGGGGTCTTCATTTAAATAGACAAGGTAGTTTAGCTTTACAACAAAACTTACTAGGTTTTGCAAAAACTATTTCAGATTGACTTTATCCTACTCAGTCCGTTATTCCTACCTCGCGCGGGTTTAAGCTCGCGGCACTTAATGTGAGAAGCCTAGTAAATCATACTGATGAGCTCCGAGTTTTGCTTGCTACTAGCCCGATCGATGTCCTAACAATAAATGAGACATGGCTTAATTCTACAATAAGCGATAACGGTGTATATATACCTGGATACGAAATCATAAGTCGTGACAGGGCATTTAGAAGTGCAGATGGAAGAACGTATGGAGGTGTTTGCTTTTATGTACGCTCCAGCGTAAATTTCATACAGCGTAAAGACATGTCTATAAATGATTTAGAAAATCTATGTATTCAAATTTAAAAATCAAATTCTAAGCCATTTCTCGTTGCGACATGGCACAGGCCACCAAATTCGAATGTTGATAAATTTAATTATTTTGAGACATTTATTGACATGCTTGATGCTGAAAATGTCGAGTACTATTTATTAGGTGACCTAAATTGTGATCTCGGATCGCCTGATTTAGAGACTAATTCGAGATCATTAATAGGCATCACTGAGCTCTATGGTTTACATCAATTGATAAGTGAGCCGACTCGAATTACTGAAACTTTCTCAACTATGATTGATCATATATTCACCAATACACCAGATAAAATTGTTTGCTCCGGTGTTTCTCATGTCGTTATTAGTGATCACAGCTTATATATGCATTCCGTAAGCTTTCAACCGGTCTACGCAATAAAGGCCATTCTACAGTAAATTATCGAAAATTAAAAAATTTTAACTCTGAAAGTTTTCGAAGTGATATTTTTTCACACAATTGGGACGTCATAAGGGCGTATAATAATCCGAATGATATGTGGCGTGTGTGGAAAACGACCTTTAATAACGTAGTGGAAATGCATGCTCCTTTACGGACAAGGCAGGTATAAGACTTTCTAAGTCGCCCTAACCTGAGTATCAGGCTCTATTTTACAAATAGAGCCTAACACAAAACTTAATCTGATCGCTTTCCGCCCACAGCAAAGTTTATATTTAGTATCCAATCAAAATGTCGCAGGAGAAATTTAAATTTCACACAACGACAACAACAATCTAATTATAGCATAGGCATCCCACTAAACAGCTGAATTTAAATTAAAACTGCAATGAACTTATAAAATTAACAAAAACAATCACAAATTAGCGAAATATATTGCAAGTGTAGCTTATATAATCTCATCACGTAATTATAGATATAAACGAAATACGCGCAACCCTACCAACCTAATTACTTTAAAGATTTCAAGACGGAATCCGAGACCGACTAATCAAACCGGTATGAGACCGACTAATCAAACATGCCAACTATCCTCCTAACGAAGATATGTCACATTTCGAACAAATTGAAATGAACAGTCCCTCCTTGATTATGATTACAGAGTCCTGGCTGAATACAAATATACCCGACTCTGCTATAAGCATTGGTAGAATGTTCAATACCTATCGGCGCGACCGACTTACACCAGGAGGGGGTGTATTAGCATATGTGAACGCTTGTATACCAACTACATGTCTCCAGAACCCCTAGGCCTTTTAGCGTTATAGTGGTAGTTGGCGTCTACTTCCCCCCAGGGCAGTCGGCAGAAAGTGAAAGGGAACTGATTGAGTATATTACTAGGGGACTTGATTCTGTCTTACGCGATTACCCGTCTGCTGGTGTATGCATAATGGGAGAATTCAATCAAATGAAGCTGAGTAGACTATACAGAAGATTTAACTTGAAGAAGTCTGTAAAAGCACCGATAAGAGGCACCAGAGTTTTGGACCAAATACTAACGAACATGGCAAATTTATATAAAGAAGTGATGCACCTGCTTCCAGTTGGTCGCTTTGACCATCATTGTTTCTAGTATAGTCCCAAAACAATACAAACCGTGAAGCCTTCTACTCGAAAAGTGCGCCTAACGAAACCATGTGACCTAAATGCACTCGGCCTAAACCATGGTCAAAACTTCCTGAAACCATAATCCCTAGTCTTGAAGACGTGGCGTCATCATTGAGGCAAGAAAATCCTCCTACTCCCTCAATTGGACAGGGTAAGACTGCCTTGAAAAAACTAAACCCTAAAAAAGCCACCGGGTCCGATGGGATTCCCGCATGGGTGCTTAAACGATACTGTGAAGAACTAGCGCCCATCGTTCATGACATTATTTGCGCCAGTATAAAAGAATGTGAATATCCAACTGCGTATAAACAT